GGCCGTAAACTCAACTTTTCAACGTTTGGGGCTCTTATAAGGTAGTCGATTCTGACAGTTTCAACTTTTTTGTCCTTGGTTTTTGGGGCCAGTGAGGAAAGCCAATGCCACGGGTGCTGTCGTGGCGGCCTGGGGCGGAATGATCCTTGCCTTGGCCACCTGGCTGATTGTGTGCCAGGCCGAGTTCGGTGAGATCACCATCGACAACTTGGGCACTCTAAACCCCAACCTTGCAGGCAACATCGTGGCCTTGCTTTCTTCAGCTTTGATTCATGCCGTCTTCTCATTGGCCAATCCCCAGAACTACGACTTCGAGTCCATGGGCAAGATCGACACTTGGCAAGCCTTTGGCAAGCGTAGTGTAGCGACTGTAGTGGGTTGTTGGTTCCACATACAGCTTAGGGCTTAGGGCTCAGACCTGGCAGCCCTGATGTTTGCAAGGAGATGCTTGAGCAGGACATGAGCGGCCTGGATGACCAGGACTACACCTCGGAGTTCTTGGATGCAGCGAAGTGGTGGATTCAGAAGTGGGGCTATGGCTTCACGATCCTCATGGTGGTGATTTGGCCTTTGCTTTCTCTCCCTGCGGGTGTCTTCACCACGGACTACTTCGCTTTCTGGGTCTTCATCAGCATCGCGTGGAGCTTCGTGGCCACCTTCGTCATCATCGTGCTCCCCATCCAGGAGTCCTGGGGCTCCATCCTGGGAGTGTGCTACTACATGGTTGGCAAGCAGGCCCCCCAAGCGGCGGCCAAAACTGAAGAGACCTCAGCGCCGCAGGAGAAGTCAGAGCTGCAACTGTAGATTTTAAGACGTCGAAAAGTTTTGTTTTGCAAAGGGGAGGCTTGACTGAGTCTTGCTGGACCCTAACACTTCGGGGGCATTATTGATGCAGGTGGAGCCTGCAAACCCTGAGTGATTGCTCGCGTGCTCCTGCGATGCAAGATGCATGCGCGGAGCCCGTAGCTCTCTTGAGTCTTTGTCATCCAGAACTTTCCTTTTCCATTGCTGTACAATCCAATCAGCAATTGTATTCCACGCAGACAAAGGAGGAGGTGCACGTCGGGCTCGCGCCGCGCGCCACACGCAGGGACGTGTTAGTTGCAAGCCCAGAGAGGCCCTGCGGCTCGAATCATATCAGAGTTGCGTTCTCTGCAGGTCGAGGTGTGCCAAAGCTCCCCTGGCACCTGCAGCAAGTCTGGGGAAGGATCCGGGGGATCTTGGCGTGTCTGCGGCCTTGGGGACTTGAGGCAGGCTGATGGCTGACATGGCTTCGGGTGAGTGCTGTTTGATTTCCGACGGTAGTAGATTCTGAGTGGCCTGGACATGGCCTGGTTGGACCAGGAGTCTCACTCAGCAGGTTTAGGGCCCAGAAACCAAGTCTAAGTAGTGATCTGAGGCGAGGCTCCGAGCTTACACGTGCTTCTTCTTCGGCAGGCCCTCCCTGAGTCCAATCCGGCGGGTCTTCGCAGAGCCCTGGGTGTCTGGGATCAGCACAGGGCACTGCCACCAGAAGACCTCGACCGTTTCTTTGTTGAGTCTTGGGCGTTTCAGCTCCGACCGAGCGTCAGGTTCTGGTGATTCCGGACACACCGTCGGCACTGGAGGCTTCTGGGAGGGGACCGGGTGGGTACTGTGGTGACTGATCGTGAGTTGCTGGCAGATCTAAAGGGCTGCAACACATGCCGCCGAAAGGACCCACTTCGACCCATATGCTCCGAAGCAGCCCAAGCCCTCAAAGTTCTAAAGCTTTGCCAAGCGTACCTCCTCAAAAACCTAGGTGCTGCTGGCCTCCTACTTCGTAGGAGGCCACCTCACGGCCGTGGGAACGGCGACCCAGGTGCTGACACAGACCGAGGCTGGAGCAACTGGCGGATCGGATCGGGTTTCGGTGGGAATTAAAGCTTATATAGGACAGTACTCTTAGTATCTACATCGAGACTCGCAGCAATAGGCAATAACAGTAGCGTTTCTTGTTGCCACAACCACAGCAGTGCCACAGAGAAAGATGCTGGCGAAGGCACATGGGACAGAGGGCAAAATGGGCAAAGTGACCTGGTTCTTCCCTTCCTTGATTTCGGGATCCCGCAAGCCAAGGTCCAAACCAAGGACCGTGTTGCCTTGTGCCCTGAACAGCTTTCACCGTATATCCAGCAGATCTCGTGGAGATGCGCAGAGCTTTGCAGTGTCTCCCCTGCCTGACACTGTGAGGCCAGGGCCTTTCGCCGGTCGCACCGCTTTGTCTTTCTGGGCACGGTGGCACGCTTGCCGTGGGTGAAGAGCTGGCCGCTCGAGTGCCCTGGCTTCAAGCAGCCCTAGTTTCAAGGGCAACCAGGTATGCAATCGTCATTGCTCATTCTTAAGACTGAGCAGAACGAAACTTCAGATGTAGTCAGGAAGATCATGATGACGGTTTCAACTTTGCGAGTTGTGTTGCTCTCGGCAGTTGTATTTCGGCTCTGCTGCTTGCTGCAATGCGGTTAGTCTCCAGTATACCGTTGCAATGCAGCATACCTTTAGCATGCTGCAGTAGCTAGTGGGGTGCAGATCCACGCCACTTGTGAATCCGCTGTTTTGCTGGATACCGTGCCACGTGTACGGTACGGACACCAAATCCTCAGCCTGAAACAAAGCGCACTTCCTTGCCTCTTCAGCTGAGGGTGAGATCCGGTGCGTCTGGGAACACGCAGCTGGGCTACAAACAACGGCAGAGGTGCTTCGGTCAAGCCACGAAAAGTTGTGGTGGCTTCCAGGTGCCAGTCTTCCAGTGGCGGATGCTGTAGTTTGGAGTCGCCATATCCCAATTCGTTTCGTGCGTCCGATGACCGGCTTGCGCTTTCCAAGGCTTCGCCTGGGCGGCTGCCGCTTCGCTGGAGCCGGGTACTCTGCCGTCTTCAGGGCGCCGGCAGAGGTGACGCCGGTTGCGGGCTGCGTGTAGGTTTGAGATATCACTGTCCTTGGCGGAGGTGGAGCCGCTAGAGAGAGGGCATCCCGTGGGGTTGAGCTCAGAGCTACAGAAATCCCACGCCTCTGCCGGCGCAGGGCTCAGAGGCGCCGAGCTCGGCGCTGGACTTGGTGGTGACGGCCTTGGAGGACCAGGCGCTGGTGCCCGGGCCGAGAGCCGAGACAAAGCCGCCTTTTTCGGGTGGTTCTTGACCTTTTCTTTTCTTTGCAAAAGAGCGAAGCGTCCTCCGTCCTCTCCTCTCGCCGACTCTCGACGAGGTGGACTTGGTCTCCTACTCCTTCGCCACGAACCAGCCGCACACGCGTGCGCCGATGTCGAACATGCTGCCGGATTTCATGGTGGCGGGTCCAGACTTCCGATGGCCCCTCTGCTGCAGCAAAGCGGAAGCGGCGGTGAGAAGTGGCGGCGACTTCTTCGCGCGGCTCTTGCCAAAAATTCGCGCACAGAGATGCTGCTTATGCTCAGCATCGATGCATTGATCTCCGCTCCCTCCGGGAGCGGATTTTAGAAGCGGGAGGGGGAAAGGGAGCGGAAGCGGAGCGCCTGCGCCGGGCCCCGCCGGGGGCCCCGGGGCCGGGCCGGCCGGGGGGCTGTTTGTTCGTTGGGCTGGGCGCGCGCCCGCCCCTCTCTTTTTTTTTGGGTGGGTTTGAGAGCTTCAGCTTGTTTTTTTTGGATTTGCACTCGACTTCGCGAGAGCTCCGCTCAGGAAGGGCTACGGTGGGGTCGTGGCTGCCGGCTATTGGGATGAGTCTTGGCAGCCGGCACCCAACTCTGCGTACTTTCGATGCTGAAAAAGGCTTCTTCGGATGGCTTGTAGAAAGCCTGCAGCGAGATTTGAACACTTTGTTTGGACACTTTGGGACCTTCTGCTTCGGTTTTCGTGCGATGGAGCTTCATGCACATTCCTGTCAAGCAAGAGAGCGATGCACGAGTTCCAGCTGTCCTAGCAGTTCAGAACCAGCATGTGCCGGGCGAATCCTCTTAGGTTTAGTTTCGCGACCACATCCGGTTGCGTTGCTTGCACCAGTCTGACCAGTCTCCATCGACTGCACAGCATGTCCTTCACCGATAGGAGAGTATCACATGCAGCCGTTGCACAAGCTTGCCATCCCGTTGCTTGCTGCCCACGCCAATGGCTATGCCGGCCTTATGGCATTCCGGTACACCGTCTTCCAACGAGCTCTTAGTGAGGTCTCGCCCCAAGACCGCTCCGCAATGGTTTGGTGCTTGGTTTTCGGCACAGCGGCTTTCACTTGCAGCGCAATGCTCGCCGACGCACGTCGTTTATGCTCGCCGACTCAAGGCGGATCCCGGATCGCCATTGACAAAGCCGTGTCCCCTGGATTCGGGCTCTGAGCCTCCGCAAGGTTTTCCTCCTCTCTTCCAGGCCGCATCGGCGCTTTGATGCGAGTGAAGCAAACGCAGAACAATCGGGTCAGCAGCGAAGGTCCCTGCACGTCTCGTCTCGTCGCACTCCGGCCGCCCGTGCAGCTCCGCGGGCAGGGTCCGGGTGTAAAAGGGCTCGTCCTCGCAAGAAAGTCCGCCAAAGCCAAAGTGATCCTATTCTCTGGGAGATCGCTGACGGGCATAGGCGGACTTGCCCGGACATGCAGCAGACACTGCGACCGCTGGTGTTGGTGTCAAAGGCCGCGGCCTTCGGCGTTTCGGATCTCCAGAGGCCGCGATGGAACACCGTCTTCAAAGCCCTGGGATGGACTTCACCATTTCAATTCGAGCAGGTTTTGAAGTCTCATCACCGTTTCAAAGCCCAGAGATGGCCAGCGTACTGTATCTTCTGCCTCTTCCGCAGCCGTTTCAGAGCCGTTTCAAGCCCCCCCGCAGCGGGCCGGGCGCGCCCTTGGGACATCTCAAGGCCGGACGCGAGAGGGTCGAGAGCTTTGGTTTCGTGGTTGCCATAGAGGTTCTAACTTGTGTGCAGCTTCTGTAAGGCCACTGTCGGGGTTATAGCCTTGGCGGTACTGGGCTGCGGGACGAGCACTGCAGTGAGTGACGCAGCGCAGGCCAAGCCACGGCCATGGCGCTCACCGCCGCCAGGGCCCAAAGAGAGCAGAGCCGAATTGCGGAGCCCAGAAGGAGAGCGAATGCTTGAGAGCGACAACGCGCTAGGGTCGGGAGAGACGCGCGTTCAACGAGCTTTAAACGAGGCTCGTTCCTCGCTCCGAGCGCGAGCCGGTCTGCTCGGACTCGGCCTTGCGCAGGGCCAGCTCAGGGCTTGCGCAGTGGATTTTACCTGGGTTTCTTGGGTTTCGTGGTTTGAAGGGTTTGGTCGCGTTTGAAGGACATAAGCCAGAATGGCACTATTGGGCACCGACAGTATCACTTCCTCAATTTCACGGAAGAGCTGATGGCCGCTGGCCGCAGGCAATCGTGGAGCGAGAGCGGCACTGCCGCTCCGGGCCTTCTCGGGAGGGCAGGCACCGGGAACGATTGTCCCGGAGTTTCCGGCATTTCAGCAGCCTGCCACAAGAAGCCTCCTCCGGCACTCTCCGCCCGGCTGCCCGGCTCCCTCCCAGAGAAGTCCGAAGCCCTCTCAAGCTGAAGCCCGGAAGGATCCGGCGGGGAATCTTGAGCCTCAAAAGAGTCTGAGCTCTCGTTTGCCAGGGGAGCCCCTGGTCCTCCCTGGAGCAGTTTGGGCGCGAGACCATGGGCAAGGCCTCGGAGGTGCGGCAGTTTAAGCCTTCGGGCCGGTGGCTCTTCTTTTCAGGGTTCTATAAGAGGCAGAAAAACAGACAGAAAGTGAGATGTATGTGTAGATAGATAGATAGGTAGGTAGATAGATCTATCGGCAGGTGGTAGACAGATGGAAATGTAGATAGATAGATCGTATGCATGTATGCATGTATGTATGATTGTACGCATGCTCCATATATATATATATATATAGATATGGACACCCCCTTACCTACCTCGGCCTCTTCTCCATTGTAAATACCGTCAAAGCCTTGTCTTGGGAGGGATTTGTGTTTGGCATACTTTTCATTTTTTTTCGTTTTCCAATTTTTTTTTGGTTGTTTGGGTTTCGCCTTAACGAAACCATGTCATGTTTGTATTTTGGGTGGAAAACAAAAAACCACAAGGTTTTTTTTGGTTTGTCTGCTCTGTTTCTGGTGCAAAAACAAAAACATTGTGTCTTGTAAAGAAATACGGTAGGAAAACCAATTTTGTTTTTGTGTTTTTTGATTTCTGTTGAAAAACCAAAGGACCGTAGGAACACCAAAGATCCCAAAGTTTCGGGTCCCGAACAAAGGTTTTGAATTTTTGTGTTTTTGGATTTTTGGTTTCGGAGCCTTAGGGCAAATACACCGCACGGCATGCTTGATAGGAAATGGCTTCGTTGTTTACGAGCAGTAGTCTTGCAGTCTTTACATTTGCATTAGGCATGCGTGTTAGTATTGGTATTTGTCTTGTTTTAGTATCAATGTTTGTAGCATTAACAAGGGTAGCGTGTTGGTTAGTGTTACTGTAAGTGTTAGTGTTGGTGTCAGCGTCAATGTCAATGCCAATGTCAGTGCCAGTATTGGGCTACTAATGGTGTTAATGTTCAGTGTTAGTGTTAGTATTCGTATTGGTCTTGATCTTATCCTTTGTCTTATTCTCAGGAGTAGTATTAACCCGTGTATAGTATCATATTAACATATTCTATATGTGTAAGTCTATGGGAACATTGCAACCGTAGTATATGAGTATATTAGTATAATGATATATCGGTACGCTGGTAGTCAAAATGCAGATTCTTTTGGTACATCGTGTTTTTTGGATTTGGTTTGAACGTGATGATTAGTACTCGTAAGAGCATCACTGTTGGTATCAATACCAGTATCGCAGTTAGTACTATGCATAATCGTACTAGGTGTAGTATGAAGTGGTAATACTAGTATCCATATTACTGCAGATGTTTTTTGATATGGGTCTAAATACTGAGAATGATTAATAAGAATATGCGCATTTTTGTCCGGAGGAACTTTTTTGTCCGGAGGAACTTTATCAGTTATATTCATATTAGTAGTCAGTACTAGTATTAGTATTACTATTGGCATTTGTGTATATTGGTATTCGTTCTAATATTACTATGAATATGAATATGTTTTGTACTAGTCGCAGGAACACTAGTATTCATAGTAGTATCCGTAGTACTGAAAGTCTCAGATTTCGTTAACGTATTTGTAATCATATTAAAGACTATCAGTACGAGTATTAAGATGAGTTTTAATGCGCATATGAATATTTCCGTAGGAAAGCTGACCTTAATATTGATGTTTTTATTATGAATGCCAATACTAAAAAACATACTGATGCTGGTATTGATACGAATACTACTAGTTATTCAGTATTATGTATATTCGCGTTAGCCTTAGTATTGGTATGAATATTCGGACGAATATTTGTATTCCACACAAGTCTCAGCGTTAATATTCATATTGAGAACATTTAATAAGAATATTCATATTAGTATCCTTAGGAGTGTTAATATCCCTTTTAGCACTAACATTAGCATTAGTATGTCAATTAGTATTCGTCTTAACATGTTTGCTAATATGAATATGATGATTAGTATTCGTAGGAACGTTAGTAGTCACATTCGTGTCAGTGTTGCATCAACAGAAAATAACAGAAAGTGATAAACGCAAACAACCATCCGGCACGTTTAACGATCTTACGTAGGATGCAGACATCATTCTGTCTTGGTCCCGTCTTTGGGTTGTGCCCATCGTCATTATATGACCAGAATTATGAATACCGGGAACATTTAATTTTGTATCCTAATACAAAATTACAGGCATTGAAGTTGCCCGGATCCGCGAACGGCGATGTCGCGCCGTCGTACCCGTGGTCAGTACAGTGTAGTCAGCCAATAACTACACACGATATATGTTACCATTGCTTATGTATGATTGTATTTAATCATAATACTCGTAGTTTCCTAAAGTCATGAGCTATATGGACACATACAGAGTGCTCGCCTTTTCGCGCTGAATCTGGGACAATCGCGCAGCCGTGGGTCGGGAACAGAAAAGAGTTTTTCAAGCAGATGCAGGAGATACAGGGGCAATTTTCAGACACTATCCCGCAATTTTCAGGAACAACTAGGCAAAAGATCGGGAACGGTAGGGGGGGACGGGGCTACGAACGTATGCGAATTTGCGTGGGGTGTTAAAATGCATAGCGATATCTCTCTTCGTTCCTGTCACTGGATGATTTTTACCCTTGCTGAAGCCAAAGGAAAGGGTTTAGGGTTAAGGGTTTTCGAATGTGCCTTCGTCTATGCCCGCTGTTCTCGGACCTGTTTGAAAAAAAGTGTCTCTATTCCCGATTTTACTCCTGCATCTTGACGAAAATCACAACGCCCATGCTGAACACAGATCCGTGAAGATCCCAGCACCTTATATATACGCATACATAATGAAAATGGTTGAGATGGCCTGTCATGTCCAGGCAGCGAGCAAGCTCGGTGAGTCCATCCCTACGCAGGCACTTTGGCTGCCGGGGCCGGTTTGCCTGATGGGTATTATGCTGCAAGCACCTGTGATATTGTACCCTGCCGCATGATCCTCGTCAGTATGCTCATTATTTCAGTCAGAGAGTCTTACAGCCTGTATCTTCTTCGTCGTTCCTGACACTGCTCGATATCATCGTTCTTGCACGTTCATTAGTCAATGGTTGGACTCTTGGGTTGAAAGCTGCGGGAAAGCTTTGTTTAGTATGGCTGCGTGGAGACTACTGTCGAGCCGCAGGCCTAGCGCCAATGTACAGGTTGACAACACGGCACACCTATTAACCATGTAACTAAACCCTAATAACAAGGCGCTTTCGTCTCCCATGAGCCGTGAGCCCGCCACGGAGCTCCGCCCAGGGAAACCCGGTGGAAGGGCTTAACAACCTCGCAAAGGCAGGGCTTTCTCCAAGCCTGTTCACTTGCGTTCTTCTTTGTTGTAGTTGAAGTGTTGTCGTCGGGCTTGGTTGTGTTTGTGGTTGTCTTCTTTGCCGTTTGCTGTGTGTTGTTGTTGTTGTTGTTGTTGTTGTTGTTGTTGTTGTTGTTGTTGTTGTTGTTGTTGTTGTTGTTGTTGTTGTTGTTGTTGTTGTTGTTGTTGTTGTTGTTGTTGTTGTTGTTGTTGTTGTTGTTGTTGTTGTTGTTGTGTTGTTGTGTGTTGTTGTTGTTGTTTTGTTGTTGTGTTGTGTGTTGTTGTTGTTGTTGTTGTTGTTGTTGTTGTTGTTGTTGTTGTTGTTGTTGTTGTTGTTGTTGTTGTTGTTGTTGTTGTTGTTGTTGTTGTTGTTGTTGTTGTTGTTGTTGTTGTTGTTGTTGTTGTTGTTGTTGTTGTTTGTTGTTGTTGTTGTTTGTTGTTGTTGTTGTTGTTGTTGTTGTTGTTGTTGTTGTTGTTGTTGTTGTTGTGTGTTGTTGTGGTGGTTGTTGTTGTGGTTGTTGTTGTTGTTGTTGTTTGTTGTTGTGTTGTTGTTGTTGTTGTTGTTGTTGTTGTTGTTGTTGTTGTTGTTGTTGTTGTTGTTGTTGTTGTTGTTGTTGTTGTTGTTGTTGTTGTTGTTGTTGTTGTTGTAGCCGCTATGGATCACAGCAGGCTGTATAGCACTGCTAACAGGGCTCCGGGTACCAACGCTAGAGGCTCGCAACGGCCCCCTTCTGCGAAGCTTGAGGGACTGTCCTCTTTCTGAGCCATAGCCATCCCTGGAGCCACGTGTCGCTGTGATCTACCGGGTCCCAATTCCCGGGCCTCTGTCTGCAGTTATACAACATTGGCAAGAGGTAAGCGGTAGTGGTTTTCACCTATCCGCGAGGTGAAGGGAGTCGGATCGAGTTTTCTCTTTCCGGCGAAACTAGCGGACGGCGCCAACGCCAATGCACCAGCATTCCTTTGAGAGCATTCGCAAGAAGGCCTTTCGAAAGGCTTGCAATAGGGTACACAGAACACAGGAAAGCATCCAGTATAGAAACGGCGTGCTGACGCCTGAGCATCTGCGTCGCAGTGGACTTACCCCCCCCTCCCCTCCCCTCCTTCCTGTACAGCCTAGTTCCACGGATCCTTCGGCTCCCTCAGGCCGCACAGACAGCTTCCGCTCACGTCCGCGAGGTGGACGAGCCAGCAAGTCGCTCCGTGTCCTCTCATGGAATGCTGGGCACCTTGGCATCCAGCAATGGGCAGAAGTGAAGACATGGCTACGCACCGAGGCCCAATATGTCTGTGATATTTTAGTCCTGCAGGAGACGCACTGGAGCGAAACAGCAGAGTTTGACGTTGAGGGTTGGCACTGCATAAGCTCTGCCACCAAGGGCGCTGCCCGGGCACCCAAAGCCAAATCAACTTCAGGGCAACGCTCAGCGCGAAGTGCTGCATCGCAGCCGGCGATACATGACACTGGTCGTGCAGATGGGGTTATGGTCCTCCTTTCCCCCTTGATAGACAAGAAAAAGATTAGATGGTGCGAACCGCGCCGAGGCCGACTCATTCAAGTCACCTTTCCGTGGCTCGGAGCACGAATTCATGTCTTTGCGGTCTATCAACATGCGTGGTCTTCTAAGAAGACTCCTCAACAAAACAAGGAAGATCGCTCGCGCCTGCTACGTGACCTGTCCTCATCCATCAGAGCTGTTCCGGCGAGGGACACATTTCTGCTGGCAGGTGACTTCAACGCACGCTTGACCCCGCAAGAGGGTCTGGTAGGTCGGTGCAGCACTAAGCCAGAGCACTCTCAAATGCAGGACGAGCAGTTCCAGGCCTTGGTTTCATCTCACAGACTGGTAGCGCTCAACACTTGGTCCTGCGGCACTGGACACACTTTCTTCCTGAACGGCAAGGGCTCACAGATTGATTTCTTGCTGACTTCTGAGGCCTCAGCGAAAGGCATGGCCAAGCGTGCTGGGCCACGACAGGACCTGCAACTTGGACGTTGGAAACGCGGAGGTCATATGCCTGTTTTCGCTCAACTCCGCCCCACCCAGCACTGGAATCTGCCTAAATCTTCCAGCCCCTCCCTGACCTATAATAAGGAGGCCCTGGAAACAGCAGTTCGCTCTGGCCTGCCCATTGCTGACCGTATGCAAGCCTGGGTGAGCCAGCGCCTATCTTCCAGGTACCACACGCCCGACGAGGTCAACCAAGTGCTGCTCGAGGCCTCTGCTCTGTTTTTTCCGAAACCCAGACCTCAGCAAGTGCCGGAGACCGCGCAACACCGCGCCACCTTGAGCATGTGGAACAGAGTAGCACACATTCGCTCTCTACATGAGGACTAGCCGACCTAGATCAGTCCCTGGAGGACCTGAGCCGATGGCACAAACAGGCTCTTTACCTGGCGAAGAAGGAACGCCATCGTGCATTTCAGGCAGAAGTTGATGAAGCATGCGCCCGCCATGACTCGTACATTGCTCACAAAACCCTCAAAAAACTCAGGCCATGGGCACCACAGACCAAGGCACAGCTTCAGGGCCCGGATGGTTTGCTTCTGGACTCACACTCAGAGCTCCGTCTGCTCCGTGAGCACGTGGAACAGGTTTTTGCCAAGCATCTTCCCCTAGACCACCTTGTAACTACTTTGCCGGACATCCCGGCAGGACTGCTAGCCAAGCACATCGGTTCTATACGACCACACAAAGCGGTCCCTCAAGGCTCCGCACCTGCGGCGTCCTGGCGATTGTGCTCGGCGGATGCGGGTGAGGCCTTAGCAGCAACGCTGCAGTCCATTGGGCAAAGCCCACAGTCGGCTGAGGATGTTCTTCAGCCACCGCTCAAGGATGCTGACATGTGTTTTATTCCTAAGCCCAACAAGCCAGCCACGAAGCCTAGCAATCTACGTCCCCTGGGCATCATACGCCCTGACGGGAAAGGCCTGGAGGGGCCTGCAGAGACAAGCTATCTCCCTACACGGCTGAATATCTTCGGGGCCTTCCTCAGTTTGCCTACCAACCCCAACGCGGTCTATCTGATGCGCTAGGCAGGGTCGTAGGACATGTCACTCAAGTGCGCAGTAACTGCCAGGAGGCCCGGCGAACCAGACACCAGCTTCACGCAGGACATACACGTCCTCAGTTGATAGGAGGCATTTGCTTTGCTTTGGACTTGTCGCAAGCCTTCGATATGGTGAACAGGTCCGACCTACTCAACACACTGCACGACGCAGGTGTCCCACAGGACCTTATTGATCTTGTCGCCTCCTTGCACGCAGGCAGTTCGTACACTTTTCGCACGCAAGGTGAAGCCGATACTGTCCAGTCCACGGCGGGCATTAAACAGGGATGCAAGCTTGCTCCCACTCTCTTCTCTATGCTCACAGGCACCATCTTTCGAGAGCTCATAGCTCTAGTAGGAGCTAAAGCTGTAGTGGACTACCTCACCGGCTACGCGGACGATCTGACAATCCACCGAGACATTCACTCGCTGGAGGATCTAGAACGCGCTCATGCATTGATAGAGCAGTTGCTGCAGTTGGTCCGCAGTCATGGCTTTGCCGTGAACAATTCCAAGTGCACAGTCATGGTAAAGCTCGAAGGCCAACAGGCGCAACGCGCCCTGTCCCAGCACACGTATTGGCGCACCGCGTCTGATGGTACTCGTCACAAGATGTGGCGGTTGGGGACATCCAAGTCTCATGAAGGCTTTCCAATGGTCACGTCTTTCAAGTATCTAGGAGTCATGCTCTCCTACTCGAATTTCGAGAAGGCCACTCTTACATTTCGGCTGCAGGAGGGCAACGCCAAACTACAACAGGTACGTCGCTTCGTTCACAACCGACGCACTGCAGGGCCGAAATCGAGGCTTCATATCTGGCACAGCACCGTCTGGGCGACGGTGGCCTCTGGGCTAGTCGACGTCGGTCTAACTCTTGAAACGGCTCGACTTTTGCGCGCCTGGCACGCTCGCAAGATTCGTGCGGTTCTTAACAAACCGGTGCATCTCACCCACATGTCAACCTCTGACCTTTACGCTTCCTACGAGATCATAGATCCAGTTTGTAAGCTACAGGCGAGACAGGCCAATCGTGTCAAACGCGTGCATCTCCGCCAAAAGAAAACACCGGCAGGAGACGTCTCGCTGACACAGCAAGCAATGCACCAAGCGGCAGCACTCTCTGTTGGGTATACAGAGGTTCTCCAGCAGCTCTCCGAAGAAATTAAGCAACAGGAAGCCTCCCAATCGTATGCATGCCCGACATGCGCTCAGGCCTTTGACACCGAGGTCGGCCTACGCACACACCAGGCCCGCAAGCACCCAGGCTCGGTCCTCAGATATGTCCCTCGAGCCTTCTCCCACACCCTTTCGGTAGGAGGGCTTCCTAAGTGTGCAGCATGCAACCGGCAATTCCCTCAGATGAAAGGCTTAAAGGACCATTTGTTATCGCCTGCTCCGACCCTGCCAAATTGAAGGAGCTCGATGAAGCGGCTCATTCCCCTTCGGATCTGCAGCAGGTCCCTCGTCTTCACCCCAGACAGCAACGACTTCATGACACATTGCAGACGCACACTGCGGTAGAACTAGGCAGGCTTGATGAATCCCAGGATCTCATGTCTTATTGCCTGATCTGCGGATTCTGGTCTCCGGACAACACCAAGCTCAAGTCTCATATCCGCCAAGCCCACAAACCGGAGTGGGCAGCTCATGGCGCGGCAGCTGCTGACAAGAGCACCAAATCCGGACTAGTCCTCATCAAGGGCATGCCCTGCCCGTGCTGTCGTAAGAAGGTCACGGACAAAAGACAACACCCTGCGCAGTGCCCTGTTTTGTTCCAAATCTCGTTTTACGAGTTGGTTCATGAGCTCTCTCGCTGTCAGGGAGGACCGCTGCGACGGTACATCCCTGTTGTTAGTGCAGCGCCTCGTACTACCTCTGACTCCGATGGTAGACGAACCACCGGGGCAACGCCCCCAGCAATACAGGCAACGCCTGT